TTTCCCGGACAATAGCCAACATTCTCTTGGAATAGCTGCCTAATTTTAAAGTCAAGTTCGGACCTTCATTGCAAAAGAATCTAATAACAACCCACAAATGAAGAAACAGCCTATTACACAAACATTGTTGGAATAGCCTGCAGAAGCAAGTTAGCTGATGGCTATAGACTTGTCAGACTGACAATTCACTGCACATCTGTGTCTGCCAATACAGAATTTACTCAAAATTGCCTCTCTAGACACTTTTTACATAACACATATTTAGCTTATTAGTGCTGTCATTTGGGAGTGTGGTCAGCTTTTGAGCAAAATCTCACTGAGTCTGTTAGCACGGATCAAATCACAGCTGCCATTTTAGAATCATGATGATTAGGTTTGAAGTTCAAATGATTTGATTTCACTTTAAAGCTTCAAAAGCAGCCTCCGGGGCAGACTTACACAATTAATTTTTACTGAGGTCTGCCGGGTAATTTAGTGTAGTCAGAGAATCTTCACTAAGGTAAGGTTATTACCACTGGGTAGTTTTATGGCACTCTGTTTAGTAGGAAGCAACGTGTTGGCTGGCTTCTGCTCAGATAAGACCTAGACGAAAGTGAAGATGCTTCTGGGAAACAACACGTGTCTGAGACATTGAGGAGGGACGAGCAGAATTCACTCACTTCCCAGATGTGGACCAGAAGTTGTACTTGCCCTCAAAATGTCTTTTCAGGAGTGTGCATGAGAACTTACAGTATACAACCTTGTAAATATCGTACTGAGAAGCTTTCAAAATTGAAGTACCGTACCTGTGGTTCTTTAATACAGGAACAAAGAATGCATTCTTAGTTTAGTTTGAACGCAGAAGTAAACAATGAAATGAAATATCCCTTTGAGATTTGTATTTATCACTTGCAAGAAGCACTTCCTAATAATCAGTGGCAGCTAGGCTGACAAGCAAACTTCAGAGCAAAGCCACGGGGGATACAAGTCTATTTTAGGTTTACTGTTGACAGTAAGGGTCAGAGGAAAAATAAACTCAGCAAGCAGTGTCATGCTACCACAAACCTCTGCTGGCCAAGCAGAAGCTAAATTACGGCCAAACCTTTCAGCACGACAGAAAGCCTTGGGCAATTGGACTGCCCTGCAGTGCACAGAGCATGACATACAGATGAACAGGATTAAGCACAAGTGAGACGTAACATAAATTAGTGATAAATAAAGCTCAAAAGTTTGGAGGAGCTAATTTTCCCACAGTCTGGAGTGGGGTACAGTATGCTAACCCCAACAGCATACCTATTATTTTAATATTTGAAGTCTGCAAAATTAATCTGGAAAGCCCTGTGAAAACAAGGACTGATCACGGTCTCCTTCAAGATATCCTTCTTTTGGTCAAGCTATAAATAATACAGGTAATCTTTACTTCTGGACCTAACCATTAAAAAAAAAGAAAAGAGCAGCAGAAGGACTCAGACATTATTTCTATTACATACACATATATATATTAAAAGAGTATAAAAACTTTTTTATCTTAAAAGTTTAGTCCTCAGCTTCATTTCATGTACTGTAATACTACTGGGGAAAGCTGATTTGATTGCTCTATCACACTAATAAAAGCTAAGATTTGTGTAAGGGGAAGAAGAGGGAATAAAGTATATTCCATATTGATATCGCTGCTGATGGCATTACTGGCTTTCGTTTTGTTAAGTTTACTTCCTATTAAAGCTGACGATAAAAGCAGCTGTGTGGACTTATAAGCACCTCTATCTACATCTCTCCATGGACTCATTAAAAATATCTGTTTCATATAGTCTCATCGTCTAGGACAGATTTAATTTTATTCTATCTTTCACTAGGCATAAATAAAAACCTGTCATTCCAACCATTGCGTTGTCTTCCTTTTTCTTTACCTGTCATCCACCGGATGCAAACACAATCCTGTAATACCTACTGTTCTGTTGTTTTCCTTTTCTTTGCTTTTTTTGTTTTGATGAAGCCACAAATGTTTTGTGCATTGTCAGGTTCTAGTTGCTTGAAACGAAGCAGACTTTTTTACTTTCAAGCGTAATTATACAGGACGGAAATGGCTAGAAAATTTATTACTGCCCTTTTTTCCTAACCTGTGGTGATACACTGATAATTTGTAAGGAGCGTCCATGCACCACAGATAAAATTCTTCAGATTTTAGGAAGGTGTTTTAAAACCAAGTGCGGTTCTAGTGGGTGATGCCCAATCATTGTGCATCCGTTCTCTGCCAAACTGGTGCTCATCTGTGCTGTTCTGTTTGACCATTTTAAGGTACTTGCTTATCATTCTCCCATAGCTCTCTGCTCATCTGAAATACCCCTGGGACATTCAGAACAAGTGCCCTATGGAGCAATGCCATGCTACTTGGTTGTGATTTCGGAGCCGACAGGACGTCAGATTAACAAATTCTCCTGACTTTTCTCATGGGGCCCCATAATTCATCTGTTTTGTCAGCACTATTTTTCAGCTGCTGTCAGGTGGCACTGAGGATATATTGGGTCAGCTCACATTGGGTCCTGTGAGCATGCCTCTCATTAATACAAATAGGATGTCTCTTATATGTTTGAAGTCTTATGGATTGATGGAAAAAAGTCAGCAGCTTCCAGTGACTGCAGTAATACCCATGACGATGGTGAGCAATACCAGGAGAATAAAATCAAGGGGCCCAGTTCCAGTGTGATGTACTCCATTCAGAGTCTTTGGGATCATCTTTCTCCTCTTTTTCCTTCAAGGCTCTCTGCTGAACCACATCATTATTTCCCTGAATCTTCTTCTCTTTTTATAAAGTTTCCTTTAGAAACTTGCCCAGTGTAAGACTTCTGAGTATGTTGACATGGAGATGAAGGTGGTAAGGAAAAGGCCAATAATAGCCTGTTCTTAGTCTCCTTGTCACCTGTAATGAAATACTGCTTTCTCCATGGTTTTCAATGGTATTTCCACCCTCTCTTCTAAACTTGAGCTTCTTTTGGCAGATTTCTCACTTATCTTTCCATGTATAATGACTCTATACTAGTGCTGGAGAGGATTAAATTGATTGGTGGAAAATTAATGGAGCAAGCAGGAATGATAGAGAATAATTACTTGTGCGTTGTGGCTTTTGATAAGTTGGCAGTCTGAGGGGGCAGTAACATAAAGCACATTAGTAACTGTAAATGCCCGGTGCAGTTTGTCCTTGCTAGAGAACTTCAGTGAACCCACAGAAGAGAGAAAAGGGTCTTGTTCAAAACACGAAGCAACAGGCATAGAGGAAGATGCACGCCTCTGCTATTTAGCAAGGTAGTGTCTTGCTACCTAGGGTACAAATCGGGAGGAAACAACAAATATTCAAGAAGCTTTACATATGAGAGGCCACAGAAAGGCTTCTTTGCCTTATGATCTTATGATGCTCACGCAAACCAGAACCCTGCCTTTACCCTGAATCGGGTTACACTGCAGCCACTGTGACTCAGTTTAAACCTCATATAGCTGTCCTGTTTCTGTATGTACCGTTCCATTCAATTTGGTTCATCTCCTGTAGTGCCAACATCTTGAGCAGAGCACTGAAGGAAGAGCAAGCAATTTGGAAGTGAAGGCATGGGCCAGCTCGGTGGCTGATGGTTGTGGGATTTAGAATTGAAGGAAATAAAGCTGTTAAGGATTCATGTCTCTAGTACAGACACCATTTGAACATGTTAGGGGAGGCAGGTGTTTAGTAGCCTTTTGGTGAAGAAAGGCTTTGATCTTCCTCAGTAAAATCGTGGGTCGAATGTTTCAGAAAACAGTTATTTTCAGTACGTATTACTTGCGGATGCTAATCCACATCCTCTTAATTTTCAGACTTTTTTGCAGATGGCATTTTTAGCAATGCTGTCAGCTTCTGTGCAGGGAGTGCTTTTGCCATTACAGCATTTTATGTGTGCTGCGAGTCTTAGATGCTTATAAAAACATCCCTGTTTAGAAACAAGTTATATATGCCAGCAGTTCTTGACAGGGCATCTGTGGAACTAGTTGCAGTTACTGGAAGCTTGTCTGCTTTATGGACAAGCTTGTCTGCTTTATAATAGGACCTAGGATAGGTCCTTTGATTATACCTACCCTAGAAACAAGAGTTATGAAAGGTCTCTCCCCTTCACTTGGTCCGACAATATTTTGCAGGCGCCTGTTTTTGCTAGCTGGCAATCAAAAGTACAGGCGTTCTGCAGCAATCCAAATAGATGTACCCTGAAGAATGGTGGGTATAATGCAAGTGAATATGAAAATGTCATCTGATGGTGAAAAGGCGTTTTCCTGAGTGTCTCGCAGTTTGTAAGTGAAAAAAAACTGACTCAAAGGACAACATGACTTCAGAGTAGGGCACACAGATACATAGGGAGGTTCATTCGACTTTGAAACAATGCACTGCAGAAAAAGATCAAGTTTCCAGAAATCCTATTTGAAAAAATAAGTCAATATATAGAGATACAAAACAACTGAAGTATGGATTATCTAGAGTAACATCCTGTATAGACGAGGCCTAAAAATAAATTCTAAAGTGTTTTTCCTCCTGGACTTGTGTTATTAACAGCATTACACAGAGTTTCATTAGCAGGATTCAAAGTTATTGAGGCAGTCTGCTGTGAACATTGCTTCTTCATACCCTTGTTTCAAGTTTCTAGATACTTTCAAGGACAGTTGTGAACCACCATGATCTTGATTCTTAAGAACTCTTTCACATTGCTACCATGATAAACAAAAAAGACAAATGCATTTCCTCTCTACCATTTCTCAAAGCAAACCAGGAACTCAGTCCCACAGTGTTTTCACTGGTAAAGCTCTCATTAAACTTTTTAGAGTTATTCCTGTAAAAAAAAAAAAACAAAAAAAACCAACCAACCAACCAAATACAAACCAGAGAAGCTGGCTAAAAGAAAGACGTTATCTTTCCGCACAATACCAGAGATTTTTATAATTTTCCCACAATAGAAACTCTGAAACAAAACAAAACAATAAAGCAAGCATATATAACGTGTATTACTTACAGTGTATTTCTAGAACCTGCATTGCTATCTGAGGTGTAGAGTTTAGGGACTCATGATCTACTCTGCAACTTACAACTGCACCATCATCATTGCGATCTGCTAGGAAATCCAGTGTGCTGCTGACTGTGAATGTTTTACGATTTGCATCTTCTTCTTTTAAATATTTAACATCTGAAAGAAAAAATAAACAATTTTCTCTCCAATATTTTTAGGAAAAGTAGTCGAGCATTAGACAGCTAAATTATCTATCACACTTGTTGAAAAAACGTGTCTTTCATATCTGTATTGATCTCTTTAAACCAAAAGTAATTAGACTGTATTATTCCTCAGTTTGCTCTGATTGTCAGAGCAGGAGATATATCTTGAAAAAGAAAATTTCAAAATTGGTTACATGATACTGCACTCAAACAAAAATTCCTTTCATCATTCTCTCTTATATGTTTAGGTCCAAATTTGATATAAACTTTCTCTGCAGTTCATTAGAAAAATGTGGTCTCCTCCCACCCTCACTTCCCTTAGGTAGTCACAGTGTCACTAAATATTAAATTTTCTAAGTCCATGCTTATAATCTTTCATAGTAATGCAACACATGGATATTAGTGAAGCCATGTGAACTAAGGGTTGCTGGCATGTACTCTCATTAATCCTTTGCTTACTTTATTAATTGCTTATTCTGCTGTTTGGCTAGAATTATGCTAATTTATGAATTAAACTAAACCAAAGTATAGATATCAACGGTGATGAACAACTGTAAATACAGCATGTCATAGTATCTACTGGACTCTACAGACAAGTCCAAGAAGACTGGAAATAAAATTACTTCAAAGAGACCTTCCACTCACTGCTTTATATCGTGCTAAATTAGCCTACTGCTTTTGTGCAGATTCAGTTAAAAATCTCTTTAACAGTTTTCAGCCCACATTCTAGAATGCAGGGAGCATACAGCTATGCTTAAGAAGTATTCAACTCAGCTCAAGGTTAAGGTTCAAATTCAGAAAGTTTTGTTTAGGACATACACGTTAGATCAGAACTGAAGATCCAAAAGACTGAGCATTTATTTTAAAAAGTTTTAATGTATTAACTGCAACATGAGATCTTCTTACACATACTTTAGAATTGTTTTACTTGGTTCCCAACTACTTATAATACTTACTGATTTTAATTTATTTCAGCAAAACAGTAAGCTCATTATATTGATTTGTTACAAGGAAAGCTTTAGAAGACATATATAAATACATAAACATATATATTAAATTACACTGAGATTGCACATGTCCTCTGTGTCCTAAAAAAAGAAGTGAGAAGTTTCAGTTTTATGAATTATACTAAATCCCATTAGAGAAGAAGATGACCTAAATAAAATTTCCATGAAATATCAATTTTAGAAAGCAAATCTTAAATGGCTTAAGCTACATCTTTTTAGATTAAAAATACTTCTGAAATCAGAAAGGTGGTCTTTTTCGTTGTCTCCAGATAGATGAAGACACCATCTAGTTATACGATTTCCATTTTTCCCTAAAAAATAATTATTTCTTGCATACAAGCATTTTTCTGCCTGCTGGTTGCTAAGCTTTAAGAGATTTCAATTTCTGCCACGGTGAATATTAATATTTAGGAATCAGTAGGTGAGGGAAATATTGACCAGGGCTAAGGCAAAGTTATTATAATCAAACAACAAATGTCTTCACTAATATTTAAAGCAAACACATGAGATTTTGTTCCCAGAGTTGGGTTTCCAAATTTAATAATAAGCACCTATATAGATAGCCTTCTGCTTATAAGTAATGTACACATCCCTTTGCTTACTGACTTCAGGCGGAGGACAGACAGCTCCTGAAATCATCAACAACTTTAATTTCAGTGAGAGGTTGTGGATGCTTAATCCTTTAGAAAAACAAAAGGAGTTAATTTCCTAAATGGATGTTTAGAAGCCTTTCTGTAGACATCTATTGTTTGGAAGAGTTCAACTCTTAGAGTTAATTACTTCTGTAAAAAGGATGGTGATACTATTCTATAAACTGTTGACATCCTCATCAACAGAAATACTTAGCTTGTCCACTTCATCAGCTGTATCTTCTTAGATTTTTCTTCATAGCAAAATGAAGGTGTGATTATGATATATGCTAACTGAATGTAAGCCCACCTGGATGTAAAGAGCAGTGGAGATCAGGTACTGGGTATGTTACCGTATGCTAGCATTCAGAACATTTACCCAGGTTTTTTACGGAATTTTTAAATATGTCTACCGTAGCCCATTCTTTCATTTATTCTCTTGCTACTCCTCTCTCTCCTAAATACCCCCTCGAAAAAAGGTTAAAAAAAAAAAGATCCATTACAGACGCACGTTTTCTGGAAATCACTAGAATGAAACACTTTGGGCGATGACTAGACAGAAAGTAGCTTTATAGAGGAGGAACTGGGGGTCTTGAGAACAGGTTGAACGTTAGTCAACAGTGTGCCTTTACAGGGTTGAAAGCTAAAAAAATGACTGCCCTGCATCAATAATAGCACAGCCAGCAAGTCAAGGGAAGTGACTTCTCCTCTATTCAGCCCTTGCGTGGCTGCATCTAGAGTACCAGGCCCAGTTTTGGGCTTTCCAGTACACGAAAGATGTTGACAAACCTGAGCGGGTTCAACCGAAAGCCATAGAGATGATCAGTGCCTGGAGCATACAATGTACAAGGAGAGCTTAAAACAGTCGGGTTTGTTCAACCTGAGGAAGAGAAGACTAAAACCAGATCAAGCTGCTGTCTTCAAGTACCTAATGCATGGTCATAGAGAGGAAAAAGTCAGAGTCCTTTTGGAGGTGTATAGCAAAAGTTGAGGGGCAATGTACATAAGTTACACCAAGGCAAATTCTGATCATGTATCATGAAATATCTACATATAATGAAAATTCTCAACAATAAGGGCTTTCAAATACTGAAACCCAGATAGACTATGGAATCTCTGTCCTTGGAGATTTTTCAAAATTGAACTGGAGACCTTTCGCAACGTGATCTAACCTTTGAACAGAGGTTGGGCCATATGATCTCTAAGGGCCAACTCTGGGCCCACTTCTATGACTCTATCAGATACGTGCACATATAGATATGCTCATATTAACTAATACTAGTTTATATCTCATAAGTATAGATGTTTGATAGTGAAAATAATAAATAGAAATGATAGAATGTCTATCATTCATTGTTCATTGTCAACTATTTATAAAAGCACATAAATATAACATCATATAGAAACACGCATCTTTTAAAAAGACAGTTTTGCTGTTTTTACAAGGCAAATATAATTTTTGCTTAATTTAAAATCAAGTTCTGCCATGAAATGGCCTTGTTATCTAAAAGTATTTCATGTTCTTTTTAGAAGTTTATCAAGACAAAATGTTCACTGCCTGACTGCTTTGCTTATACTAAACATACATAAACTAATTCGAAAGGTCTTAATCTGTTGCAATAAAATGAACTGATTTTATCTTATTTATTTCTGAAGCCCAATTTTGCTGGGAAAAAAAAAGAAAATCCATGAAAAAATATTCCTGAAACCTAAAATTATTTTTTACATAATACTGTTGAAATAGCATGTAACAAATTTTGTTGAAAAATAGATTTTTTTTTTTACAAAAATGTATTTAGCTTCTCCCATATTTTTGCCTTTAATAATCTTCTAGAAATGTCACCAGAATGCTAAACTGCAGATGGCTTTGTTAATTTGGTGCATATATGAGACAGAACACTAAAGTAAAAGGTATGGTACTCAGTGCTTCACATTCAGTCTCTCTCATCACTAACGCTTACTCTATCAAACAGTATTCCTTTACCAGATGATGATTCCTTTTTTGAGTAATAGCAATGGAGCTACAATTTTAGAATGGCTTTTTCCCCTTTGGTGCAACTCTGAACTCAATGCATCATTTATATTCTTTTGCACCATGTATAATACACTGTAACACAATTGGATTTACTGGCGCTGGGCAGACAAACTCCTAACCTTTAATGTCAGCTGCATTAGCATATAATTTCATATCTATTTTCTCAGATTTATCATTTCACCTTTTACAGTGCACAAAGCTAATGTAACTTCTGCTGATGCCACTGCAAACTGGCTAGGTTATTTTATTTCTAACCTTTGTGAAATGGCAATGTGCTCTTCAGAAGACCTAGAAAACTAAACTGAAATGAATGTGCTCAGTACTTCCCTCTCATTTCTGGTTTTGGGTTTTTTTTTCCCTTTATTGTTCTTTCTCACACATCTTCTTTGTTCCTTCCCCACCCCCTTTTTTTAAAAAAGCATCCCTTTAGGAACTGTTGAGAAAAACAAATTAGTTAAAGAGTCAGATCACCAGATTGCTTGCTTGGCTTCAATTACATGTCAGCTGAAAGAAAGGCAAAGTTATTACGCCAGATTTTAAAATATAATTTTTAAAATAACATATTTTCAGATGTGTTGCCTTGCTGTTAGGCCAACTGTACCAGTGGTTCTCTTAAAGTATTGACATTGCTTAGAGTGATATTCAATCTTTACATGTCTTGACTATATATATTGATCCTGTCATCTTTTCTGGACGACAGAATCTATGCTGTGCCATGTGTGTTAGCTGTGCTGTTAAATTCTTCTTTTAATTACGTTTGATAAGGCACTACTTTTCTTTCAGCAATCTCCTCAGATTTCGCAGTGGTTGGAAAGAATGGTATTCTGTTTCCTCATTTTCTATCCTCGTTACAAGTGTTCAAACACATTTCAAATTATTCCAGCCTAAAATTCCTGTCTCCTTCAACACTATTTTGATTTTCATCAGAACTCTAAAGGTGCTTCTAGAATGGACTGGGTTCCTTGGACAATCAACGGCAATCTGCTTTATTTACCAATTTTATATCACAGCTCTGGTTGTGTACATTGAACTGTGGTAGAGAATACTAAAGGAAGAGTAATGGATTCTGTAATTAATGCTGTAATTTTGCTTGAGACAGTTTATTGAGCTAACAAAATCCACAATGTCAGACAAATATGAGACAAAGCAGATAAAAGTTGGTTTGTTTTTCTTTTTTAAAGCTACACAGGAAAGGTGGATTTTGAATCATTTATTGACCTGGTCTTATAGCAGGATGAATAGAGATGACATGAATAAATACCAATACCTTATCCTTTTTATTCATCTATTCTATAATGGGCACCTCAGTTGGCTGTGGTAGATGTGACTAAGCCTTCTATTATGGAAATCTCTCTTCACCCATTCACCAAAAAGGATTTTAAACTATCCCAGCATTTATGAGAATATGGACTAGAAAACTAAGTTTTAAGTAAAGACCATACAAAGTGAAAGAGAAGACAGAAAAATAAATAAATAGCTTTTATATGCAATTCTTTCCTATCTCATTGCATCCTCAAAGGCAAATCCTTGCTTTCAGCTTCGGTTTTAGTCACCCGATGACTTTTCAGTTACAACAGACTTTGCCCAACTCCCCCCAGTCCCTGTGAAGTTCTCTTCATCCCCTTTGAAGCCTATGTTCTCCCTGCTCGTCACTGCACACTCTCAGCATCCTTGCCTCAGCTACAGGTTCCCAGTTTCCCGAGACTCCTTCAGTTGCTACATCCCAACCCTTCCTCACCAGAAGCTCCATATATATGCATAACTACTCCACTCCAGTAATTTACAATCAATTCCTTATCTACGTACTACCCCTGATTCATTTAACGATTAAATATGAGAAACTTTACAAACATGAATTAAAAAATATCGTTCTAAATAATGTATAGTTTTGACAATTGGACCAAATTACATCAAAGTCCTTTTAAATACCTTTAACTTCTTTGTCGTTCTTGAACCATCTGATATCCGCTGCTGGTTTACTACCAGACGTCTTGCAAGTTAGCTTGCAAGTTAGCTCCATAGCTCCCCTATGGGAAGTGCAATCTCCTGTCTCCTCCAGACAGCTCTGCCTCACCTGGTCACTTTACTTAGAGGAGTGTAACATAAAACTGGCAATTGACCAAATCAGACATACGTCATATTAGAAAGACAAAAAGAAATGAAAAGGTAAAATATCTGGGGTGAGTGGTATGGCTGTGATAACAATTATCCATAAACAGTTTCTCTATGAAGCATCACAGTTGAGTTCATTATGCTGAACAGAGTTCAGAGCAATTCAAAACATCTGGTTTTACCATTTGAAGAAAAAATGAAGATGGTTATATGACCACTCCAACTGAGACTCCTTCAGTTGCTACATCCCAACCCTTCCTCACCAGAAGCTCCATATATATGCATAACTACTCCACTCCAGTAATTTACAATCAATTCCTTATCTACGTACTACCCCTGATTCATTTAACGATTAAATATGAGAAACTTTACAAACATGAATTAAAAAATATCGTTCTAAATAATGTATAGTTTTGACAATTGGACCAAATTACATCAAAGTCCTTTTAAATACCTTTAACTTCTTTGTCGTTCTTGAACCATCTGATATCCGCTGCTGGTTTACTACCAGACGTCTTGCAAGTTAGCTGCATCCTCTCTCCCTCCATAACTGGTGAGGTAAATCCAGTAATTTGTGGCTTCTCGGGAACACCTAACAAGCAAACAAGCAAAATGTCTCTGATAGTGTCAGCTGCTGCCATGAATATATGACCAACTTAAAGTTCACTTCTTCATATGCGCTAAATTCTGGAAACAGAATAATTAGTTCCTTGCCTTCTATCAAAATTGAATGTCAGTGAATCCTGTTTCCTATTGCAAACAAACTGTCGATCTGAACTGTAGTTGACTCTAAAGAATTAAAGAAAACAGAAATTATCTAGTTTTCTAAGGGAAACATTGTATTTCCTTTACTATCTTATCTACGTATATTCTGCATGCAGGTCTAGTCTGACTTGCTATTATAAGGTTTAAACTGGTCTGCACAGCAAGCAGGATGACAAAGTATATTAGAAGTTCAGCTGTGAAAATAAAATGTAACTGGCAACAAAAAGCTGAACTGATCTAAGTTCAGAACAGATGTTTAAGCATGAATTATGAAGATTTTAAAACAAAATCCAGGGAAAAGGGAGGATGAAAATAAATACAGGAGTTACTTTATCTTCAGAGAACACATAACCAAAAAAACAACAGGTATAATCACAATTCCTTTGGCTATGGAGAATTCTTCAGCTGAATCCAAGTTCTTTGGAGGAGGTCGTATGATCATGACATACTATACACATAATACTAAATTTGGAAATAGTTGTTTTTCAATGAACCATGGAAAATTAAAAAAAATGATGAAGAGAATTGGGAAAAAATTTGATCACTACATGTATAAATCCATTTGACTTCTGAAAACACAAGAATAACTTATTTTAAAGTGATACTGATGACCATAATTTTAAAATCTCTGAAAATGTCATTGTTATAACTTGCATCTGCAGCGCTTTGACACATTCGTATTTGTGGCTAGATAAAGGGATCAGTCACAATAATTGATCCTGTGCCCTGTATTTCACAATTTGGTTTGTTTACATCTCTTTTCCAAAATGACAGATTATGTACATAAAAACCAAGCAGCAGTACCTATCGCATATCACATTTCTGTAATAAATCTACCCCTCTCTTTCAGGACAGAAAATGGTGTCTACTATAATACCTTGACACTTAAATCTTCCAATCCATAACAGAGCAGTCAATAAAGAGATTATTAGTACATAAAAGGATAGTTTATCTGATTAAAAGATGTAATACATTTCAATGGAAAATATCCCCTTCTCAGATAGAAAGTGTTCCAAGAGTTTAAAATGTTACTTTGAAATAGAAAATTACAAATATAAAATGAAAAAAGGCATCTTAAACCTTGCAGTTTTCTTTCTTGGAAGGTAAGTATCTGATGTTGGGACAATTGCTTTAAACCCTTCCCCAAAATGAAGGTAAAGCTAAAAGGACTGCGAAAGATTAAATTACTTTGGTAAATAAATATTGGTTAGATATTTTTTGTCTTTGTAACACCTTTCTATGTCTTTCTGCCATTTAAAAGGTTGAACTGGTCTACTTATCTATTGTTTAGATCATGAGATGCCTCTCTACAGAAAAGAAGATTAACCGTAGGCAGTTGTTATTCCAGAATATTCTGCTTTGAGTGGGTATTTTTTGTCCTTAACGGCAAACTTGTGACGATTTTTGTACAATAGTCTCACAGGGACTGAAAGGGAGACGTATTTCATATCCTATGCACAAAACCAATTCCCTGGCTGGATTAATGTGAATATCACTGGCGCAGAGAACATCTTACATTAGTCCTATTAAATTCAGCTGTCTGCCTGTCTACATATAAAAATAAAACAAAAAGAAAGAAAGAGTCAAGTTCAGGGACAGAAAAAGGAGAAAAGAATAAAAATCAATCTCTAAAATCATATAACCTCTTAGGTACGCAGGTGTGTTTCAATGAACTATAGCAATTTCAGCTGATTGGGCTACTGACATTCATAGAATCATATAAAGCTTCGAGCAGAAACTTTTTTTCCTGGGCATCTCTCAAAATCTATTGCTTTTCTATGAGTATCTATAACCTTTGGGGAAAACAGCGGAGCATTTAGAGGATAAAGCATAAAAAAAGCAGCAAACCCAGTGAAAATATGCACTTTATAGACAAAAAAGAAAGCAGAATGAGCCAAGAAAATGCACAGCTAAGGAAAAACGATAAAACTCTAAAGCCCGTTTTGATTTCATGCTTTCTGATTTTCCCCCCTTTGCCCTATACAATACATTGTTAGGAGATGAACACGTGCACCTTCTTTGCACTTCTGGTGCTTGGGATGTAGAGGTTATGTCCATTTTATGGAGCACTCATACCGTGGTATTTGTGTGCTCCCTAATTCATATCCCGCCACGGCACAAATAGTAAGAGGCATGTTATTTTTCAGCACAGCAATATGAAACGATAAACTTCAGGGAAACAAGATCAGACATTTACATGTATCTTCTGCCAAGCTTTAGAAAAGTTCATTCTTATCATAATTTGCCAAAGCCTGAGAAGTTTAACACTTGCTTCTTTATGCTCAGCTATTTATACTTACCGAGAACGGTAAGAAAAGCCTTGGAAGTTTTGACAGGCATAGTAAATAAAGAGCAGGTGTACTGCCCTTCATCTGACAGAGACACATCACTGACACTGATACTCAGTTCATGCCACGAAGCTCGGACCAGCTCAATTCTGTTGTCCCTCAGAGCTGAAAAACAAAAATTCATGTTATAAGGTAGGCAACAGCACATTAACAAAGCGTGGTGTGTTATACAAGAGGCTCTATGAAGTAGCCTAGTGAAATCATGCCCTAGAATACAGGGATATGGACACAGTTACCTTTATGCATAGTCATTTGTTTTCTCTACGGAATAAAGCACAAGAGTCCACCAAGTTTCCGAATAGTGTACTGAGTGACTTGTAATGTATATAAACCTAGAAACTAAGGGACTTTAGTTTGCTTTGATCTTCCTCTGAAAAAAACAGCATTGACTCTGATTTCTGCCCCCAACAGCTTTTTCAGTGCCTAAAACAACTCCTTCCTAAAACCTGGGTTTTTTTTCATCTATTTACAAATGTGGGTGAATATTGAGAATTCTGTTTCATCTACTAACAAACTATATTTTCAATGAAGAAATCTAGTGTTGTGTATCTTGCCTACAGATTTTTCTCACGTCCGTTACTACTCATATTGAACTGGAACATCGGATTTCTTGAACGCTGTAAGGGTATTTCTTATTATGAATATATTGAAAGTTCCACTTCTACGTGCATATGTAATACATTTAAAGATTTTAGGTAATTAAGTATAGTGCCTTCACTTTTTTGATTATGACTAAAAATCTAATCTTATATCAGAAAATCCTTCCTAACAAAATATTGTTTGCATGAAACCACTGAGGGAAGAGGAGCAGGGAGATTTACTTAAATTCAAAGTGTCACTTTAGCTAATGCTTTAAAATTTTGAATATTTTAAAGCCTATATTTAGATCAACCCACACTTTCTATTTAAAAACAGTCGAAACATTCCCAAACATTCCATTTCTCTGGAGTAAAGCTGTTTTGGGAATCTACATATATCAATCGAGTCTTTCCACAGCATAGAAATGCTAGTATCAGAAGTAAGTAAATACCGTGATTCTCCTAAGCAAACAACACAAAAGCCTATATAACTCAGAAAGTTTTGCTGTATACCTCAGATTCAAATCTTTGACCTGGCAGTATTTGAATCTTCAGTGAGTCTATTTTTATAGCAAGCCTCTGACAGTCAAAAGTAAAATGGGACTGCTATAATTACTGGGAGAGCTATGCTTTGATTTGTGAGAAGAACCAAGATGTTCAAGTCCCTAATGCTGTTCTCACTCACCTCTTTCTAAAGTCCTCAAAGGCTCTTATATTTGTTTCTCTTTACATTTATATCTTCTAGTGATAAAAATGAGCTTTACTGTGGTTCTTTTGCTACTAAATCTAGATGTTTCTGCCCCATTGCAAGGCTCTCCAAGTGCTGTCAATACAGGAAGATTTACACCAAAATAAGCAGCTACAATGAAGATTCAGCAAAAACGTCACTTGAATTTGTTGTCTTCTAAGGCTACCATTCAGGTTTCTTTACAATGACTTCAAGCTGAATTTATTGGTTATTTCAGGGTAGGCCAGCTAAAGCTTGACTTAGTCTCTGCAGGGTCTGATGACTGAAAGGTGACAGCTTAAGCAGACCTAACGTATAAGCTTGCCATGAGCTGCTCCAAGGCACATCAAAGTGACTGAGATTGTGTGGAATGGACACATTCCAAACATAACTGAGAAATCTTCTGGCCAGCCACAGCAAGAAATAAATAATTATGTACTATATAATATGAAATGCATATAATGATGGAAAATAGGTGCGACATTAAAGCAAACAAGCAAGCAAAACAAAAGCCACAAAATGAAAAGCTGTGTATATACCAATATGCTGACATAACAGTCAAGAAAAACAAGCTCAAGAAAACAAAAAGTACATAGAAGCAAGCTTCTACCAACCCAGAATAGCAGGCAAAGCTGATGACTGTGGCTTTAGTAGCCAAAAGTCCTCACAACAGTGAAGCTGTTGCTATCTTTGAGGAAGTAGATGGAGACTCAGAATTCATTTCTCAGCATTTCAATTCTAGTCAGATGCAAAGTGAGCAGACATAAGAATGGTAGTTTATTTCACATTACTGACCTTTCAGAAAAAATTATTTTCAAAATGACCCAGTGCTTCCAAATGGTTTGATTACCACCACACCCATATATATAATTTGGAAAACAGCATAGGAAATACAAAAAAACCCCAACAAAAAACACCTCAGCACCCTGTAATTTGAAAGTGGTGATTTTTGCCTCCCCAAAACAAAAATTACATAAAAAATAATGCAGTATATCATCTTACATCATATTTTAATTTGTTATAATTTTCAGTTGCTACTGCCTCATGATAAAGATTTATGTAGCTGTTGAAATATTTTCCTATAGATGGGGCAATGTGCAGAATTTCATGCACGAAAAAGAACTGTAATGAATTCCACTAGAGCACAAATGGTCTACAGATGATGCCAATAGCACACCATTTCGATCCTACCGGTAGAGAAAAAACAATTGAAATACAAACCAACTGCATCAGCTACATTTCTACTGCTCCCCTCCCTCATTTCCTCCCCCTCCACACCTTTTTTAACCTTTGTACAACATAAAACCCTCAGCTCAGCCACTTTTTCTGGAAAACTGGTAGAAACAACCACTGATCAAGAATGAGATCAGATGTTCCATGTTTCAGCCTGGAGTGAATTTTTATTGAAAGAACAGAAAGAGAGTTTTGTAATGGAAATACCAACACAGAGCCTTTGCAAAAAATGCTGCAAATAGCACCGACATAATACTCCTTCGCAGGAAAGCTGTTTGTCAGAAGCATTTTTATAAGTGTTAAGTCTGAATGCAATTAATTATGTGCCATCAATTTCAAACCTAAACATCTGTAAGCTTTCCTGTCTACGCAGATTGGAGAGCAAACCAATGAGAAAACTCTACCACTATTGCTTAGGCAAGGCTAGCACTTACGCAGAGTCTTTTTAGAATCTTATTTTCAAACTTTATTTCTACATCTATGTCTATATCCTTATCTATATCTGTTTAGAAAGACACCAATTCCTCCTATGAAACTGACAGCTGTGATGGATGCCAGAACTGGTTTGTTTCCATTTTCTGTTAGGTATATTCTGCTAAAAGGGTGAAGCTGGATCAGAGAAAAAGGGGCTGCTGAACTGTCTAGTCCCGGCTCCCTCACCCTGGGGCAGGGGGAACTCTCTGGGAGAGGGTGACTGCTCTCTCAGACAGCAAATGAACAGTCGGCGGCATTGGAGAAGCCAGGAGTACTTCTAGCCAGCTAGCAATCTCCAGCCACGGAGACTGACTGGAGCAGGGGTCTTGCGCATGGCAGACAGTAAACCCTTGCCAAGCCTCGTTGATGGAGCAAAGAAGCCCGTGGAGCCTGAACAAAAGCCAGCTACTGAAAGGTATCAACTGGCAAGCAAAAGCTTGAAGGAGAAGACATATTCCTCAAGGAGCTGGTGGAAAGGAAGGAGATTTATTTACAGTACTCTGTATTTTATCCCTTTCAGCAGATCTGAGTTCTACCTGTTTAAAGAGGGACCTCATCTAGCTTATTATTCTCTATTTAAAGGACATGAGCTTCAAAAGCTTTCTGTAGGCTTTTTGATTGCTCTTTCTTTGAAGTAAGAATTGCCCCGAACAGGACAATTTTAGCACAAGGTTCAAGCCAACTCGAGGCTCTACCATAGTAGTTTAAATAAAGTACCATAAAGTCAAATACAAAATCTTCTCTCTTATTTAATTAACAGCTGAAAACAAAAGGTAGGACATGTATGGGGGCATTCTGCATTAATTTGGAGTTTGGTACACACTAATAAACAGATTTCCTATATACTGAAATGTCCAATGTCCATGCATTGTTCAATACAAACGGCAATAAATAATTCCAGCCCCCCACGAAAGTTAACAGGAAACAGCAGGCTTCTCTTTAAAGTGTCTCATACTAAAATACAGCTGCTGTATTGTACTCAGGTGACAGTATTTATTCCTCCACTTTTTAAGAAGGTTATACTAATAGCTCCATTTGTATTCCACAGGTAGTTTCTGAATACTATTTATTAGTTGTATTGTGGTAGTGACTAGACAGCCCAGGTGAGCACAGGAAAGAAAGCTTTGTCCTTAAAGACTGTACAAGCTCTGTCCTCACTTGACTTGTGTGGTTTCCTAGCCTTGCTCCTACCTCTGCAGGCTCTTTCAGAGCCTTCTCTGGAAGCTCTTCTTTTTTTCCATTTCACTTTGTTAGCAGCTTAAGAGCTTTTTGGCCTCTTCCAGGGGATTTTCACCTACATTCCTGAATCATTACCTTATCAATAGTTTGCATACCTACATTTTTGCATGATACAGAGATACTAGAAAAGGGTAAATAAGCAGAATATGTATTTGACTTCTGGGAAATACACCTGTGCAAAACAGTAACAAAGAATACCACCACTGACGTCTCTTTCCTGGATTCTTATCATAGAATCGTTTATGTTGGAAAAGACCTTTAAGATCATCAAGTCCAACTGTAAACCTAACACTGCCAAGTCCACCACTAAACCATGTCCCTAAGTGCCACATCTACATGTCTTTTAAATACTTCCAGGGATGGTGACTCACCCCCTCCCCTGGGCAGCCTGTTCCAATGCTTGACA